CCAGGAAATGAAGGGGGAAGTGAAGGGGGGGGATCTGATTACATACTCGATGGGGTCCGTTCTTTCTTTAGCATCGCAGACCAACAGATGTTGTGGTTTACTTTCAAGACTAAAGATGCCAAAAATGGTTGTGCCACACTAGAACTACTTTGGGTTGTAATGTAGTATGTAAACATTTAAAATTCACTGCCCAGCCCATACAGTCCATATATGAAAATAAGCTCCATAAAGCCATTTCAAATTCAGTGTTTTCATGCAGTCGTGAAAACCAACACTTTACATATATACGCATATACAGCCTATGGCAGTTTAGCCACACCCATTCACGATGAAGAAGTGTTTCAACCCGGACTTCTTTTTGAACGAGGCACCCGATTACTTCTAAACAATGAAGAGAGGTTGGAAAATAGTCATGTAAAATTAATTATCACTGTTATTGGTGGACCTTGGGAAAAAATAAAATAAAATGTGGACCCTTTAAAGGTTTCTCCTAGAACTTTACGTCCATGTAAAGAACCATTTACGAGTCTTCATTTTAAGAGTGTAGATAAGACTTGCTAAGTCTTTATCTGGGTTCAGTATTGGTTTCTACAGTTTACTGCACAAAGCAATTGAGCACACTACGAATCATCTGATAGTTTTAACAGTACCATACAGAAGACATTGAAATCTGTATCAATCTTTTTTATTGTGCCTCTGCATCCTTAGGTTTTGTCTCTTGAGCAGGTGTGCATGTCTGGGTGTGCAGGTCTCCATGGCCATTAATTTTACCCAGCGATTAGATTGTATCTTCCAGGTTGTGACCAGTCTTGGCAACGGGCTTACTTTCATTAGACTGTAATAAACGCTTTGCTTGTAGGGAGTACACATGTGCGCTGTTGGGTTTTATTGGATCTGTAATGGGCAGCTGCTATAGAATGAGAACATATGGGACAAGCCTTGCCTTTGGCTAATACTGATATCATTCAAACCTGACACATGATGGAATGACAACTCTCAAGAATAACAACACATTTGAGCTACATTCACAAAGCAGGTAAAAGTGGCCAAAATCTGATCTTTTCCTTCATTTGTGACACAGATCTGCTATTAGTGTGGTAGGGTGAACAGCAAAAACACACTGAATCTGATATTATCAGTCTCAATTTGGGACATTTTCATATGTGGTACTGACATCCGATACATATCCTATGCGACTCAGTCTGAACAGCCAGATCGGAATTCATGCTTCATTCATTCTTGTATGTAAATTCAACTCCACATAAAGTCAAAATTTAATGCAACCGAGTATAAAAGATGGACGACAACAGTAAAAGAGGATTTCAGTGGTGGGATAGTGAGGTAACAGACCTTGTAATCATTTGGGATGCAAACCAACTTAGAAGGTACTTACAGCAATTGCTCCATGTTTGAAGAGATATCGAAAGAAATGGCTGAACGCAGCCATAAAAGAACGTGGCAGCAGTGTCAAAGAAAAGTTAAAAATCTGAAAGCAAAGTTTAAAGATACCAAGGATGTGCACCAAAGAAGTGGCCGTGGCCGAATAACGTGCCCTTTTTACAGCCAACTCAAACACATTCTGGGTGATAAGCCCCGCTGTTAGCCACTGGATTGGCCATCTGGATGAGTGTGCCATGTGAAGCGTTGTTCTTTTGTGCACATACAGTTTGGGAGCATGATCTGTCAAGACTAATGTCACATATAGGTCACATTATAAAGATATTGTGAACAGCCTAACAACAACAAAAAAAACAGACTTGGGCCACTTTTACCTGCTGTGTGAAAGTAGCCTTGGATGCTGCAAGCTAAAGGGGTGTGTCCTGGCTGCAGCAGTGTCCAGCTACCTGCGATCCACATGGCTGGATGATGAAGCAGTGCTGGTGGGCAGATTTACAGCTCAGTGGGTGAGCAGACAATGTGGCAGGGTAGCAGCCATCACAGCATTTGCCTCATCTTTCCATCTGGCTAATTCTACACTCTGAAAAGTGATATGTTAAATAACAACACACTAACTTGTATTACCTATTTTAACACTTTTGTGACATACTGTTTTCTGATGTTACACATTCTGTATTAAAAGTCATTCCAAATGCATTATCCAGAACTAGGTACAGAAATATTTCTACAGTAAAAGTAACACAAAATATGTCATCTCCAAGTGAACACACTGATGTGTCTAGTTAGAGGCCGTTTTAAGAGGGTAGCACCATTTCCAGTAATGACTACAGAAGCACTCTGCTGCTGCTTTCTTGCATTCTACAATTTTAAAAAGTCCTAAAAAGTCCAAATTAGCTAGTTAGCTTTAGTGATGCACCAATCCGATATACAGGATCAGTATCAGCACTGATACTAACCTTATTTAATGGATCATTTATCAGTCAGACATGACTGATCCACATTCAATCGTGGATCAACTGTGGTCGTTAAACTTTTGTTAAAGTTCCTAAACATCCCACTCACTCTTCAGTCCATACAGTCCATATACGGAAAACAAACCCATTTAGAAGTCAGATGAAGTTGTTTTTGTGATGTTATAAAACCGATGCATTTTTATATACATATCTTTAGTTTAGCCCATTCACGCTGAAGTTATAAAGAGTGTTTCAGCCTGGACTGCTTTGCGAATGAGGCACAATACAGAGCAACCAGTTCGAACAGGGATCATTTACATATAACAGTCTACAAAAGCATAATAACAGAAACAGCCTGTTTAATTCTAAGAGATATAGAGAGGTCATGTTAAATGAATTGTTATTGGTTTTGGTACATAAACCGACACAAACACTGTAAGTGGACCTCCAGGAGAAAAAAATAAAACACAAGAAAAATGTAGGACTTTTGCCCCTTGTAAACTGTAACAGCACATTGTCCAGTTTTCGACTTTGTGAAACACTTAATTTATTTCTTATATATTCCATGGTCCTTTTTCTGTTTTAGAGTTAAGAAGTGATGATCATGTTACTTGACACTCAAAGTATGATTCCAAGAATTTCCACACACTGAGATTTATAGATTTTAAACTGAAGAAGAGCACTGGCATCAGATTTATACTTGATATCAGCCCACTTTATGAATCGTAATCATTTTTTTTGGAGAGAAAAAGTGGGATCAGTGCATCCCTAGGCCACCCAGACATCCGCACACATCCTCCTTAATTGGAAACGAAGTATATTTACTGTTTACTAGGTGCCTGTTGGCTTCAGTATTGCTCAGGCTGTTGTCCATGTAAGGAAGTACGTGTTGCAGTCACAGCCACAACTGTTTGAGAACACTTCAGAGCTGACCCGTTTTTTCCCATACTTTTCTTGGGAACTGAACACTTTTTCTCTTGAAAAACAACCAAAATACTCCAACGCTAGCTGTAAACTGCAAAAAAAAAGTTGCATTCCAGTTTTCAAGGCTTCTGGTCAGGGTGTATGTCATGTCAGATAACCTTTGCCCTAAGCATTCTTTTCTAATGGATCTAAAGGCGCAATTATGACCAGTCTGTTGAGCTGGAGTGCTAATAAAAGAATATCAGTCCCTGAATTTACAAACACAGTGTTAAACTCAAACGCTAATTTGTTCCATTTGGTGCAAGTACTTTAAGTAAGTACTCTATATTAGGTGAACTGGATTATACTTATGGATGCAATGTGTATCTAAGCCAGCATAGACTATCATTTTATATTTGCATAATTTTAACACTGAGCACTGTAATGATTTTTTAATTACATTTTCTTGGTGGACTCTGCATTCAGTCATTCAGTGCAGTGCACGGAGGCCTTCAATCATAAAACAACAAAATGATAAAGGGTGGATTATGGTCTCGCATGCTCTGTTTTTTGCCTAAATTTGTAAAGCAGCTTATCAAAAATGTGATGGGACAGCATTAAGGGGTATCTGAGTACACTCTAAAAATGAGGGATCCTAAATGGTTCTTAGCTTGGATGTATAGTTTGAAGACCTTATGAATCCTTTACACTATGTGGAGGTTCTTTAACCTTTAAAACATTTCTTCACACTCACACATCTCATTTACAAAAATGGTTCTTGAAAGAAGCAAACTATTGAGAGGTTCTTTAGGGAACCAAAAGAGGTTCTACTATGGGACTGCTCTAAAGAACCTTAGTGGGCACCTTTATTTTTAAGAGTGTAGGGTGGATCAGATATTTTCGGACATTGGATATTATGGAACATGCATGTCATAGGCCTACACCTTTAAACAATATACCAATAAAATGACTGTGTAGTTTAATTAGCTTGTTTATAGTAGTTTAATTGGGTTAGCCTGCCAACAGTACCTCCCTCGAGCACATCTGGAAAGACTGCATTAGCAGTTTCAATTGAAATTGGAATAAACAAAAGTGTCTTAAAGTGTTACCTGATAGCACAAAATATCTGAATCCATCCTTTAATTAAAACAAGAATAAGGAAAGGCAGTTTTCCCAATCTGGTACTGTTATTCGTATGGACACAGTAGCCAGCTAGCCGCTATCAGGAATGAGAGGACTCACGCCCTTCCTGGGTAAACGTGGTTATATATAGACACTAGATGAATAATGCACCCATATTTTTTCTTCAGTTTTTTCATAAAACATGTCTGGGTAATAACGAAATTCCAGCAAAAATTACGCAACATGCAAAATAAAAACCTCAGCTGCGATTCCTTTTCTGATAAGCTGCTTCTCATTGTGAGACACACCTGCTTAACACTGGAGACACGCATGTACATTTCCACGTGGATCATTCTGGGTGTTCACCCACACACACACACACACACACACACACGAACAGATTGCGGTGTGCTCTAGTTCTACACTGAACTCTGTTCATTCACTCATTCAATACAATTCACGTCATATTCGGACTGATGCTCATCTAATCACCTCCAGCTCTTCAGTCATAATCAATCATGAAAATGTTTCATGACACATTTATCTCCACCCAGATGATTATTTAAATGCAGATATTATACATTTCAGCAGCCTCGCGCTCGTTTGCTCCGGTATATCACTCACCCTTCCCGCATAGAGTTCGTCTAGACCCGCGTCTATCCACTTCTCCACATCCAGGCGCCTCTGCAGCTCTTTTCTGTTGTATTTCACGGTCACTCTGGCTTGTCTCTTCTGCACGCTCAGACCGGCCTCCCGGCCCGCACCTCTGTTAGGTGAGTGCACTTTGCTGTTATACCGTCTCCCGACCCGGTTCGCTGCCATGTCCAGCTGCTCAGAGTGACAGTGTGCAGACGGGACTGGCTGTGTTTGAGTAGTGCGCTAGTGGAGCACGAGGAGCGCCGACATGCCCAGCAGGAGCGAGGCGCAGGTCCTAGCGCCGCCGGGTCAATGACTCAGCCAGAGCTGCTTCAGCAAGGGGCGGGGCTAAAGGCAGTAAGGTCTTGGAGGTCTGCTTCACACATAGCACCTCATCTTGGTTAGATGAGTCCTTGGAGGGGGGAATGCTGAGTGAACACAGACGTCGACTTCGGCACCAGAACCTACCCAGAAATTACCCACTGCAAACTCTTTTTTCACCTCCCCAAGAATTGGTGAACAAAGCTGTTTATAGGCTGTAGCAGTAAATTACTTTAAAATACTTAATATTTCAAATGCATGCATTCATTGCTGTGTTCTTATAGGAAACTCCACTCGGCAGCCATCTTTGCAATGACACCGGGCAGTTATTTCCACTCGTACAGCACCAGACTCCTCTCTCTTTGAATGGGTTGAGCTCAAAACGCAAAATCAGCAGGATGTATCTCAGAAAAGAGCTAAAGAGCAAACGAGGCCTTGGCATAAGTATATAATCTCCAAAGAAATTAAGCAGAAATAATATAAAATCTTTCAGCATTCACAGGATGGCTTTAAGCCTATGCACTATGGTGTACACTCATCAGCAGAGGGCGCTATAACAAGCCAATAACGTTTAGTAACTTCTTGATGGATCCAAACTAATCCATAGTTTTGCACCTGATCATCTTAAAATCAGACTTTAGATAATATGAGGAATCTAATATAATATGAGAAATTATGTAATGTGAAATGTTGACAACAGTATGCCTGCAGCACCTCTGCAAAATGGAGTAGATGGACTATTGGCCATTCCAAAGGTTCCGTGCCCAGGGATCTTTGAGTGCCAGGGGCCGTGTTGGGGAAACCTCAGACCAGAAGGCCCGAGGCGGTTCTGAGAGTGGGGACAGAGTGGGGAGAAAAATGACATGATCAAATATCCTTTGAAAATTATGTGACAAAAAATGAAATAAAGACCCTTCAGCCCATTCACTCCACCTCCTGCAACTATAAAGGGAAAAACAAGACCCTCAGCTCTCTACAGATAACTACAGACATATGTTTTGTGTATAATCTACTTTGTGTTATGAGCATCTAAAATAATTAACCCCCAAACACACACAACAAACCACAACACACACCAAAAATGTGCAGGTATATAACTATATAGGAAATAAAATGCTTTTGCTTATTTTTTACAGCACTGTTTAAAGTACACATAAACAAGCACAAGCAGTTTACTCAAGTTATTTTTCAGCTCTAGTTTAATTTTTGCGATATTGTCAGTGTCCAGGTGGGGGGCATCTAAAGACGTTTCTGCTGAGGAACCATGATTCCTGACTCTGTTTCTGACTTTGTTAGCTAAAAATTTGTACTTGTACATATTTTCACTCTGAAGAGACCTACAAAAAGACAATTTTCTAAGTAGACTGTAAGTCCCATGTAGTCTGTCTGATCGTTAACAAACATAATATACTTGTCTGTTGAACCATTTTGAAACAACTTACAGAAACTGATGGAAAACACTGATAGAGTGTGCTGTGACAGAATGTTGGTAACTGGTCACACTGTTGCATAGATGTACATTTTTTCCACACAATGTCAATGTGAAAAACAAACCCACAGGCCATACAGGAAAAACCTGTTAATGTTTATGGCTAAATTTAGCCATTCAGCATTCAGATAGTTATAGAAGGTGAACGTGACAGGAATAGCACAGAATTCTGAATATGAGTGAAATGCACCTGTACATGTATTGTGACAATATAGCAACAGATTTCTCTACAATTGCACACATCTCGCTCAATCAGAAAATGGTGAGTACTTGCAAAATAGTGTCTGGATCTCGATTACTGTTGCTTGGGCCTATATTTTGACTTGCTATTGTATTAATGTGTACAGAATTGTATGAATTATAAAAATTCCAGTCAGTCATGAACCTCCTCTGCGTTACAAGTGACTGTGCTGCCACCATGAGGCCACAGAGAGAATAAACAGCATGTAAAAGAATATAAACTCATTCATTTTATATTAGGAATACCATAATAATAGAAATAGCATATGAATAATTGCAGTCGTCATCATAATTATGATTAATTGCGTTTACAAATCTGTAATTTGACTGTGCAGCTGTCATAAAATTACATTATGTTGTGATGTGATGCATCAGTGCATTTATTGATGGAATAAATGCATAGCAAGTTATTGATTTCTTATCAGCGTGCTTCTAAAACCCACACAAAGCTGAGGGGTAAAAAGGATTATGCACAGGCGGCCTGGTTTTCCCCTGGGCCATTACACTACCAGAGCTATGAACTGTGAAGAGCCTGGAGTCCACTGCCCTTTCACACATTATCAGTAGCTTATTTTCAAATAAAGTGACCTGTTTGGTAGAAATGTAGTCAGATGTATCACAACTAACAGAAAAAGAGACTTTTAAAAAGAGATTTAATGTGTTAATAGTGTTAATAGCCTACAAGCTTTACAGTTGAATTCTCTTTATGACCCTGAGAGTAAATGGAGAGATGAAGGTGAAAATAAATATTTCAGTTTTAATTTGCACTCAGCCTATCTGACAGTCGCCCTGCCTCAACCTGCAGACACAGTCAGCTCCATAGAGGCAGTGCTGTGTTTCCACTGCAGTCACAACATTAGCTAATGATCAAGTTGTCTTGGTCTCAGTCAAAGGTATTACAGCAGGAAAAATTAAAGCCTAAAACTTCTTCTATTGGACGTGCTTGACTTTTGGTTTAAAATATCTGCCTGAGAAATCCTGCTTTGTGTGGTAAGGCATTTCAGGTTTAAATCTACATTTTCTTGACATCAGAAATTCAATTTGAACAAGGAAAATGTAAAGAAATAAAATGTGACATTTCAAAAATTTAAATTCTAACATTCAAAAGTACAAATCACTAAGTAGAGACTTCAGCTCTCATTAGTACGAATTCATGGCTTTTCCCAATTTATTTTAAAGTGGGGAAAATTTTTTATTAGCATAAATTAAAATTTTGCATAAGTTTTAGCATGTCAGTTCATCTGGACTTGGGTAAATTCAAATTATTACTTTACAATTTAATTCTTACTAGAAAATGTTTTAAAAGTTAAAGTTAAGTGCACTTTTCTAACATGCACATCTACCTTACCACTTTTTAAAAATACATTTATTACAGTAAAAAAAAGATTTAATCTCTGCTGGTAAAAATTATGACATGTTCTTATTTGATTTTTTGCGTTATTTTTTTGTTATTTTTTAGTTTTATTCTAAGACTGACTGGAGTCTTTCTTTTTGTAAACACTGTTGTTTTTTCCCAGGCAAGACAAACAATTACGTCAGTGCATGAGGAAGTAAGTTTGTGGGCGAGAGAGAGAGAGAGTGAGAGAGAGTCAGTCTTCACCTGTTAGCGCCGCCATCACCGACAGTCATTTAGACACCGCCTCAGTCGTTCCGCGCTGTCTGGTCTCAGTATGTTGCGTCTTTTGGCCTCCGTCTGCCTCCTGTGTGCCGCCGCTGTTTTCGCTCAGCAGGACGGCTGTAACTGGGACTCTAACGCGGAGGTGAAACAGGGACTCTCGCCGGACTCTCTGGACGCGGGCGCCACCTACGCAGCTCACCTGCCGGAGGTGCAGGAGGACGGCCGCTGCCGAGAGGAGTGCTGCCGGAGGGAGGACTGCCAGCTGGCCCTAATCGGCACCCCGGCGGACGGCAAGCCCGAGTGCTTCCTGGTCAACTGCATGAAAGAGGGCAAAGATGTTTGTGTTTTGTTGCCGAGCACTCAGTTCAGATCGTACAGGAAGAGCTCCGAGAGCCATCAGCTCAAGCAGAGGAGCGACACTCGCTCCTCCACCAGCTCCAACTCCAACTCCACAGGTAAACACAACACGGTTATAACGTACAAGGACGGAAATGGAGGAGATTAAATACACTGAAACATTTCTACGGCGTCACATATGTGTTCATTTTCACCGTTGTTATTCATGTTGACCATCATGTAGCCACTTCCTTGTATGTCTCACACTCTCATAAACCTTCAGGTCCATGTTTAATGTTTAATGGAATGTTAACACACCTGTACATTTAGTACCTTTATAATGGTTCAGAACAACTGAATAGCCACATTCGTAAGGAAGTTACGTATTTCAAATCCTGAGAGATTTTTTAATGTTTATTTTTCTTGAGTTGTGATGTGATGTGATCATTGATGTTTACTGTTTGCAGTAAATTCAAGCAACTCATCATGGACTTATCTTCAGAATCACTCCCTTTTTGGTCCCTAACAAAGTAACACGGTCACGTATTTGACGTGTATCTCAGATTCTTACAACATTAAAATGCCTTAGAGTGGATTCAGATATTCTGGTTCTTCAGGTAACTGGAGACACTTTACAAAATTCATTTTTGGTCCAAACTCATCTAATGCATACTAGTGTATTACTGAACAAAAGAAAATAGTGGAAACAGGCTAATTCGCATAAATTACAGCAGTCATTTCCCATCAGACATTGAATAAAACAGCTTTGTCATTCAGGGCCTGCCGCATGTCCCACGTTATCACTGTATAATCATAGCTTTTTCATATGCGCCACAGTATTTTTTGATGTTTTGTAAGGCCTAGTCTTGATCTCTTTGTAATGAAGCTGCTGGCAAATGCTCAGAAGAGCATGATCTGATGTAATGTGACATAATTCATCATTATAACAATACATTTTGTTTTATAGTTGTCCCTACATACTGTTCCCTAATACCTGAATCCGCCCTACTCAAACACACTCCCACCCTCCCCACCAAGCTGTCCCACCCACAGACATTACAGTGTTGATGTGGGAGCCCCTGTGTAGGGTTAGTTAGGCAAGACTGGGACAAAGACACAGTACAAGTGTGCGTGTGACTGTGAGGAGGATTACGCACGCAAAAATGCAGCAAAGCAACTCTTTCATTCTCTTGCCTTTGTCTAACTGGTTTTGTCCCGTCTGCTGAATGACTAGAGAAACACAGCTGTTGATTGTAAATAAAATAACACAAGCAACAAATGCAATACAGAAAGAATTATCAAATAATGCACTGAAACAAGTGCAATCAGTTAAATTACATTACAGTGAAACAGCATTAACTCTGTGTTAATCTGAATATCCAGTTTAAAAACACTTAGAATAGACCTTGACTTTTTTCTCCTATATTTGCCGTGTGGTTGAGGGTGATAAGTGACAGTAGGATACTAGCACTTGGATGCTAACTCTTCCCTTCACTCCCCCTCTCTGTGCATTTCAGATAGGTGCCGTTATGAAAAAGCTGTGGGTCCTTGTCGGGCTGCCTTCCCCCGATTCTACTACGATGTCACCAGCCAGACTTGTAAATTGTTCATCTATGGTGGCTGTAAGGGCAACGACAACAACTTCGAAACACAGGCAGACTGTGAGGCAAACTGTAGTGGAGTAACAGGTAAATCTTGCAGTGTGTGGCTTCATTTGAGTTCTGTCAGCCATGTTGTCCCTAATGGGCTGGGACAAAAAGGATTATGTGTCTCTGTTTAGACAGTCTTTTATAAAACTGCTCACCCTTGTGGAATAGCCTCATATCATGTCCAGAAATAGTCATAATCCAGAAAGTGTCATCATCACTCAGATGAAACATATTCATGTATTTTAGGTCATCGGGAGCTCTGTGCAATACAGCAGAAAGTTAAATACTTTATGTTTCTATTTTTCTACTTATATACCTTTTTACCATACCTCATATGCAGAAGTTTGGGTGCCCCTGGTCAAATGACATGTTGTTGATTTTCTAAATGAAAATAAGTTAACACATCGTCTACAGAGAACACATTTCTGCACAATTACTGTTTATTTGCTGAATTTAGCATACTGGAAAAAATAAAACAAAATGTGATCTGTGAAAAAAAAGTTATTATATATATTTTATGCTTTGTATTTTTCCTATATGTTAAACTTGGCAAATAAATAGGAATTGTGCATTAAAGTTTGTTTTGTACACTGTATATTTGACCAGGAGTGTTGAAACTTTTTGTATACGACTGTATGTGTTTCTCATGACCCATATGTGTTATTTTTGTTTGTGTTTTTTTTTTTATTAGAAAAAATGAGTTTGTATCACTTTACCGTTGAATCTCTTTCCTTTAATGTTTTTCTTGTACGATCGAAGGAACTGAACCCAAAAAAACATTATGTGGCGCAAGAAAAGAAAAACATTAAATATTAAAAGAAAGCATTAGGCTTGAGGTATAACTGCTGAAACTAGTGTGAGCCAGCATTCTGTACTTTCCAACAGGATGATTTATTCACAATTATACAAACCAACTCATTTTATGGTTGTGGGTTATGGTTCATTTTTATGGTCGATCTTGTAATACCAGCCTGCATTACTTTACCATCAAGCCTATACATTTGCATGTTGCTCCTGAATCTGCATTCTGATGTTCCAAATTCCAATAAGCTTTAATCCAAATACAGAACTGACTTGGGTTTTTCATTGTTTGGGCTACAGTGAATAATAATATGAATGTGCAGTAAAAGTAGCAGTAATGTTGTTGTGTGTTTAGGTGTGTGTACAGAGTATATACCCAGATTAGACTGTCTAAGCGTTGCGGACAGCTAACTTTAGGCTTAGTTGGAGCAATGCGGGAATTTTCCTGACTGTCACTTTTTTACTGGGCTACATCATCATGGAAACCTATGCTGCATGCCTAACCAGCTCCAGAGCAAGTTACATTTGGGATTTCAAGCTCTTGGACAACTCTGGAACAACCTGATAACTTCATCAGTGGATTTAATTGCCGTTCTCAATGATTGTGCTTAGTGATTAGTTTGCCTTTTCAATTCTAAACAGGGTATCTGCAGGTTCTTACAAAGCCATGAACAGCAGCCTGAACATTCTCCACTAGGTGGTTTTGTTTGGCACTAACAGGCTACTTCAGTAGAATTAAATTAGACTTTACTGAAAGAGTCACTGCAACATGCAAAATAAAGAATATGCCACTTGAATATATACAAGCTTTAAATGTCTGTGCTTAAGTAGGGCTGATTTAAGTAGTTAAACCCAGGGAAAGTGGCCATATACCACTGCTAGCTTGGTGCTAACACTACATTGACATACATGTAGAAATGCTAAGGGAAAATTAGCATTATCATAGCAGTGATATTCAGGCTACTCTTAAAGTGATAGTTTCTGCAGTGACACAGTGCTGTATAATGATATGTGATCTGAAATGTTCATGGCATGACTGTTTCAAGTCAGCATTGTAGATTTCTCAAACTTCCCCAAATATTAACATTAAACATGGCTAAAAAAGCTTTCTGAGACCTGCAAATAACATGAGAGTACATATTAAAAATAAATTCTTATAGACTCTCTTACAGTAAGAAACAAAGCCTAATGGCCATACACATTTTGCCACAATGGCTTTTTTTGTATCTTTTCAATGGAAAATTATTTCTGGAGTTTTTGAAAGGTTTTGCGTAGTATGTTATTGTTCAGTTAAGCATATTTTTTGTTTGATTGCTCAATTAATTGTCAAAAATAATCATTATATTACTTGATCACAAGTATAATTGATAGTAACAGCTCTAATATAAAGCAGTTACTCCAGTAAGCACTAGCATGGTGGCAGTGGCAATAGCGTTGGCTTTTCCCGTTATAAATGCATGACTTCCTACATATTTGTTTATTATAAATTTTTTCCTTTTTTGAAACATGAACTACTCAACTTTCATGTTTCATAAGATTGGCTACTCACTGTAAAAGTCATATTTTCATGCTTACGAGCAGGGGGTTAAATCTTAGCTTTAGTATTTAAATCTGGATTAACAGAGAAACTTAATCGCTGTTATAAAACGAGATAACTGTGGTTGCATTTGTTATTGTTGTTTTATAAAGCTGAAACGTAGTCAAGAACCAAGTCTAAGCTGAATGTACTTCATGACAATGGCACCAGGGCTGCTGCTCATTGCAGAGAAACTTTAACCTGCCATTCGAGTTCTGTCTGTGTGTGTGGTAAAGAAAACAAAGGCCCTAAAGAGGGAGGAAGAATTTGAGGAAGAAAACCACAAAGCCAGTAAAGGAAACTTCTTCCAGCTCAACAGGGCACTAATCCAGTGCCCACGCAGTGGTCCGTGGGTGGCTATGTGTAAGGGTCACTGTGTTGGGCCTTTTTAGCTACAGTATTTGAACGATGTTGACTTCAACTCCACTGAGGCTGTGGTTGAGTTTATGTAGGTAACCTGATAATGTGGTTAGATTCACTGCCTTTCAGTCCCCTGCCAAACCAGTGATTTTTAAACAGTTCAGTGTTATAAATGGAAAGTAAACCCCACCCATCAAAGTTAATTGTGAACTAGGACAATGGACAGTTGGACCTTTTTACTTGGTTTGCACAACACTTTACTGTCGATGTCTCACTCAGTCTAGCAACATATTATTGGTCACCATGCATGACACTGTGGTGCAGGTGGTTTCTGCTTACACCTGGTTGTTGAATAACCGGTTAGGTGACCTCTGTTGCAAGTAGATTACTTCCTCAAACAGGCCATGTTCAAAAAGACTCAGCTGTCACTGCATTCATTTTTTTCCTTAACCCTTTCCTGGGTGAAAATTTAGACTAATGCTGACAATCCATATTTCTCTGTCCATGTTTCCACTTCACATTACTTGCGTTTGTGCATGCAGATGATTAATCAAAATAATTAGCTTGAAACAAGGCGATATGTGTGTCATACTCTGTGAAGATTTGTTCAGTCATACTTGTTCTTCATTGTGTAACCATTTCCTTGTGTGTCGCATGTGCTTTTTTTCATTCCACCTTTGAAGCTGTTTTTGTGCAGTAATACTGCAGGGACCTTGGTAAGGTTCAGAACAGCTGAATAGTTCCCAAGAAGATACCTGATTTGAAGTTTTTTGTCCTCTACTTAGGTGATGTCATTGTTGACTCTCAAGATTCCCCAAAGCGCAGAATGGCTGGACCTGAGAAGAGTAAAGGTAATCATTGGAGTCTGCTGGCTTTGTGCTATATTACATGCAGGGCTGCCAAAATTACTCAATTAAAAAGAAAATCATTATTATGTTCTGGATGAACCAGCTTAAGGAGTAGTTTGCAGTTTGAATGATAAACATTGTACCCTCAAATCATTATAAAGCCATGTTCAGCAGTCTGAAGATTCTACTAAAGGGGGAGCTATTGGCATTCAAGTCACTTTTGACTTGCAGTGCTCAAAAGAGTGTTTGGATATGCTGTTGATCAGGTAAGGAGACAGAATTTCTGCTTACTTGGACATCAGCTATAATTTGTATTTGAACTGTTAGTTCAAAGTGTAAATCTTTCATAGTTGTTTTAGCTGCTTTACTGAACACATGGCAAGTTAATGATGAGTCTTGAGTCAAAACATTTTGACAGGCGAAAAAAAATCTTGTTCAAAATTGAGACCTGGCAAGTTATTTCAGTATTTGGTGTCAATGATATTGATTTGTACCGGTTAGCCATCCTGCTATCTGTGCTAGACTCGGCCCCTTCAGTGGACACACAGTTCTGTGTTGGCTTCTGTCTTTAGAGTATTTTTTCATATTTTGGTTTTGTTTTTATATTAAGGAAGCGGTATTTACTTTTAAAATAAAATCAGCTTATAACTGTCAGTTTCCCATGATATTATGTTTCAGACAATAATCACTTCCAACTCTGAAAAGTGTCTGGAATCCACAAGAGTGTTCTGGTATTCTGTTGGGATCTAAAGAGTTAAAATAAATAAATAAATAAAAATACTGTATGTCTCCATTACCAGAATGATTGATAGTCACATCCTAAATTATGCGCATAAACCATTTTGAATATTTATCTGAAAATATTTTATTTAGTAAAAGGAAGTTGGGACTAATGCCTTGGATTGTGTTTAGGAGATCATGGTGTAAATTATCTCAGCATAGTTTGGGCTTCTGAGTTGTCGCTGCCACGTAACACTTTCGGAATGCTGTTTTACTCATGTCTTCTTAAGAAGGTCACACACAGATAGCTCTGCAGCGTCACATTTCTGTCCACATCTTGTTCCTCCCAGTGTGCTTATCGTTCACACACTTCTGTTTTCCGTCAGTCCCTGGAACATGTGTAATTACTCATATTTGTTTGTCAGTGTGAAAATAAACTCTTGTCTTATCAGTTGTAGATACATCTCCAAATATTTTTACATCTCAAGTTGAACTGTCCAAATCTCAAGTTGTTTGATATAGGAGGAATCCTCTTGTCTTAGGCATTTAATGTCTTCTGCAGTTTTATCAGAATCAGTGATGAAATATCATTTGAATGAGGCCATATTGGTTTAACAAAAAGTTATAAAGTTCTGTCAAATAATCCTTTTTTGAATTGGCATTGCTGTTTTTATTCTTTGGCTTATTGTTTGTGTCTCAATGTCATGCCTCCTTCCTCAGATGATTCTAAAGCTGCCCTGCCTGAAATGACATCAGAAGAATTTGCAGGTAAACATTTTTTGATTATTTCTGTTGTCCATTTTCTGTAGTTTTTGTTTTGTATTTCTCTTTATCCTCTACATCTGGGACCCAAATGTGACTACTTGGGCCTTTTTCCTGCGTAAATAGACAGAAATGGACCTTCTTTCTGCATTGTTATGATCTCCCAATATTGTCAACGGTTTTTGTAACTAGTAACTTGTAATCATTGTCCCTAAATTTAGTGGTAATGCCATCCTAATGTGTTATTTCCAGAGAAGTGTCAGGCTGAACCAGGCGTTGGGCCCTGCAGGGCGTCCATCCCACGTTTCTACTACAAAAGTGGCACCTGTAAGCAGTTCATTTTTGGCGGATGCCGTGGCAACAAGAACAACTATGACTCAGAGGAGGAGTGCATGAAAAGCTGCACTGGTAGGCTATGTTTTGCACACTGTGGCACGTCTTATTTTTGTACCAGATGTTGATCAGTTTCTCTAGGGAATCAGGTTTTACCTGCAGATTAAAGTTACGATTTTACTTCTTTGCAGTGAAGATTGTGGAATCAAAGAAAGAGGACGATAAGGAGGACATTGAGGACTACCATGGTAATGTGGCGTCTCCAGTACATGACCAGTGCTGTCAAGTAGGGCTGTCACAAGAAAACGATTACATAGTTAATTTTTTTTAAGAATAAATTTTATTCAACAATTTGACAATGATCAGTTGACCATTTGCATGCTGATAATACATATTTTAAATGCTCCTACTGCTCTGCCTTATAGTAAAAAAACAATGCCTGATAGACCCATTTATATTTATTATTTGGCCCACTCCTAACCTGAATATCACTTTCATATATGCTTGCTAAACATCCCATTCCAAAACCATAGGTATTAATATAGAATTAGTCCCTCTTTTGCTGTTCTAACAATCTCTGCTCTTCTGAGAAGGCATTACTCAGGAGTTAAGCAGGTATAATGTGTTAGCAAATTAGCATTTAGTATTAGCATATCTTTTTCCAGTAAATTATTTTGGAATCTTTGAAAGCTGTGCTATGCTACTCTGATTATTTGAATGCATTGTCAAACTAGCTCTGTGTTGCATTCTTTTTAAACGTGCAAATGTGTGTGTGTGTGTGTGTGTGTGTGTGTGTGTGTGTGTGTGTGTGTGTGTGTGCTATGCAGAGGCCTGTACTCCTCCGGCTGACGCTGGACTGTGCCGTGCAGCTTTCCAAATGTTCTACTTTGAGCCCAGCTCTCAGACCTGCAAGTCCTTTACATATGGAGGCTGCGGTGGCAACAAGAACCGCTACGACACTGTGGAGGAATGCATGTCTAAATGTGCTGGCAAGCAAGGTAAGAGGGTGTAGTTTAATGGAATTTACATTGCTAATGAAAAGGAATGTCATGCATTATTACATTACAGCATTCAGTATTACATTGGCACAAAGTTACTTTTATCTTGGGGTTTTACTCACAGCTTAAATCGATGTATAGTATATTTAAGAAATATTTTTTATACTATCCAGGTTGCTATTTTCATAGAGTTGTCAAAGAGGACCTTTTGTATTTCTTGTGGACTTCTAATATTACATGGGAGAGAGGGACAGTACGTAGGCATGTTTTCATGGAAACAAGTGTTTCAGATCTTTTTAGACTATTGAGACAGGTGTATAGTTAAATGAATACATCAGTAAACGTTTGTTGGAGTGTCGGTTGGATTAATGGTTTTAAACTTTCTTCTTGCAGGGAGAAATGGACGCTCTCGCTGGACTCCAGGTAAGACTGAGACCTTTGAATGAGGCACTGGGTTTCTTGTGATACATTACTAATGGTCTGTAACAGAGGGAGCCCAATCTTGGCCCTGGGGATCTACTGCCCTGCAGAGTTTAGCTCCAACCCTGTGTTGAATCTGAACTCTCCATGGTGGTAGTTCTCCAGGACCAAGACTGAGCACTCCTGGTCTGTAAAGATACTAGAAAAAGGAGGGTTTTGTTCCAAAATGCATTACAGACCACTTTTGAGAATTCTCTTTTTTTTCATGATGGATGTTGTTCTGAGTGGGCTTAACACATTAAAATATTAAACTATAGTATGATTAATACCACCTTAATAAAAATGTGCTTACATTATACGTCAACTCTTATTCTTAAAAAAAAATATCCAAAGTTGTTACAAATGGATATACAGCATTTTGGAATGAAACATTCTGCACAGGAATACTAACAGGAACAAAAAAAAGAACAAATCTATTTCTGTAACAGATTATTGTAAATGTTACATTTATAAATAGATTTTGTTATATTTTTGAAAGATTTCTTTGTTTTTTTTTGTTTTGAAATTCTTGAGCATGTTACTTAAATCCATTTATCTTGGCAATGTGTGTTTGTGCACCATATATCATTAGAACAAATGCAAACTAAAATAAATACAGTAAAATGTAACAAGAAAATTCTTTTGAGCTGGTTTGAAGAACAAAGTTTGGCTCCAGATTTTTCCTCAAAGCCCCCAGACATCATATGGATTTGCTGAATTCCATCAGTAGCACACTTAATGTAATATAATGACCTTTTGATTCGCCAAAATAGGTATTAGACAATAGCTACAGATAATACTGGGCTGCCATGAGGAGAGATTTGGAAAGGGTTAAACATGGAAACATTGAAAACATTGGCATATGTAAAATCACTGCTTATTGTATAATGTTATTTCTATTTATTGACATTAATGTTAAGCAACAAAAAACACATTCTGACCAGATAAACAGCTTTTAAATATAATTGTCTTGGGTCCCTAAGACTTCTGCACAATACTGTACATACTGTATATTATTCTAGAATTGCAGTTACTTTACATGTATGGTGTTTGAACAGTTTGAGCAGGGTACTTTTAGATGACGGTCCTAAGCAGGACTCTGAACTGGTTTGAAGAACAAAGACGAAAAATAAAACAGTGTTTTTCTGGGAACAAAAATGTAACCTAAATGGTATCATCCTTATCAGTTCTGGAAAATTTCTTAAGCCTATTTGTTATTACGCTACCACTGTGAGAATGACAGGAAGACATTTTTAAACAGGGAATTTACTAACACTGTTGAAAACGTGTGCCATTACATTTGGACTTACTTTGACACCCTCTGGTTAATTATTAAGGGCTGTGTTTTAGCTATGTGTTGGAGCAGTTTATTGATACAGAATGGTAGAATTCCATAGCCTCTGTTTGGACGTGTCCTTATCAGTACAAACACAACTGTTGTGTCTAATAACTTTCTAATAAAGCTGCTGTTTTATTACATTAGGTCTACATACAGCCTGTAAACGGAACAGAATTAGCCATTTCATTAATTATTAAAATAATTATCTGATTTAGCAATGGTAAGTAGAGGTTGCAAGAACAGAAGACTTAGAACACTGGAACACAGGATCCAGAAGGATAAGTGACTTTATGTGTGTGTGTGTGTGTGTGTGATAGTCAGTGAAGTGCTTCAATTAATATTAGCTAATTTTATCAGCTTAGTCGTTTTTAAAGAAAAATAAATTGGATTGGTATCACTTAAATATTGGTACCAAATAAATATTCACTCTCACTCTCATTCTCTCTCTCTCTCTCTCTCTCTCTCTCTCTCTCTCTCTCTCTCTCTCTCTCTCTCTCGTCTCTCTCTCTCTCTCAGCCTTCTTCCTGGTGGCGACTCTGGCCATCATATCGGTGATTCTGCTGGTTGGTCTGCTCCTGATCTCCTCTCGCCGGACCAGGCAGCAGCTGATCTTTACACTGGACGACAAGCAGGAGCTCCTTCCCGAGGAGCATGTTCCTGCAGAGGAGCTCCCCAAACCAATTCTACACTAAATGTCTGTCTGTCTGTCTACCTTTCTGTCTGTCTATCTGTCTCTCTCTCAATCTATCTCTGTCTCTGCACTCCAACACTGTCTCACAGCCAGTTGCACATGTCGAGTTTGGGGAGAAAAGAATTGAGATGTTGCTCTAGTAGAAAGGCACACTATTACAGACTCTGATAGACGTCTAGAAGCAAAGTAACCTTGTGATGTGCTTTGCTAATCAAATGTCTACAAGAAAAAATGATAATGTTCATTCAGAAGAAAAGTTGATTGGTAGGATTTGACTCGTTATTGTCCTTTAAAACACTAAGTGGCAAAAATAATCTCTCAGTATGTTCTATTAAACCATCCCAATGTCTTTCACACTGCCATTTAAAGCAGCTGCCCCGTCAAACCTGGAAATAATTTATGGAAATGGATTTAATTTGTGTATTATAAAAGATTACATAAATACTCCAGATGAGGAGCTAGCAAGCTAGCAAGGCTATGGAAGAGAAAAGCACACCATACCAGCAAGAGTTATAAAAACTTTTCAGGTTGACTTGTTGAATGATGAGGTACAAATGTTTTTAACATGGTTGAAAATTCATGCACTCCCATGTTAGAAGGTAGATATAAAGGGTACAAAACAGGATATACTGAGCACGTCAGAATGTAATGACCCAGTAGCTTTTTTTATGCAACACTACTGTTTTACTACTTTAATTGCTAATTTCTTGATAATTATTATTTTTTTGTGATTAATGTACACTTTAATGATATTTTTCCTATTTAAATTCTGTTTTCAGTAAAATTACTGCATCGTTGAAAGCAATAACAGTAATATACACAAGCAAAAATTAATTCTCATTTTAAATGTGTACACAAATAAGTTGAACTGATTTCCATGGCATCCTATAGCATATGAGCAAATAATAAAATTATAATGATGTCCAGTTCTATAGTATAAATATAATCTAATGCTCCAGTATGATACAGACATGGCCAAACTCATAATACACAGATTAGACCTTGTTTGCATCTCCAGTGTAGATTTAACCCTATTTAAACAAGGAGTGTCTCTAGGAAGAGCTGGTCATGTGGAGTCCATGAATATGCTTATTATTTCCATTATGTGCAATTTTTAGTTCATTTTCAAGAATGAACTGAAAATGTGCCATTTATTTATCAACAATATATGTACTTGATGCCATTATGTATATATGTACACATGGTTTGGACAATCTTACACTGTATTTTTATTCTCTGTTTTGCTGGTAGGATGATTATCTTGTTCTTATAGGAATTGGAAATGTAAGCTACTATCTTTTGTAAAGCCTTGTGATTATTTTAAAATCTACAATAATAAAGGATAACTTTGTTTAGACTTTCATATGCTGAATATAATTTGCTGTGTGTTGCACACAGAAGCAAAGATATCCATAATCAAGTCTTGACAGTTATAGACAAATGTATTTTCTTCTGAGGTGCTGCCTCATTGTTTGATATTTGGGAGCTTTTTGAACGATGTACACACACATATAATGGAGAAAACCTGTTTCTCAGGAGTTTATGCTTAGAATTGGTGTTGGAATACAAAGCACTATAAATTTTAATACTGGTACTGTTGCGTTACTTGTTGGTTAACCAATAGACACCATTAATTATCTCAAAAATTTAAATTGAATTTTGAACTGTGCTGTACAACTTTATAAAAAGCTATCATTACTTTTAAATATGGTTAAAATATGATTTCTGAAAGTTTTTCTCCTATTATGCTAGTTTCTTTTATTTATACTATTGATACTCATGCCAAATAATTTGAAATGTTTAAGCAAAATAAATTTCTGATTTATCGTTTTGAAGCCCAGGTTTTGCGCTTGACCTGGTATCATTAACATATTCAGTGCAAACTGACAGTTCAGTTGAAAGCAAAATACCTTGAATTTCACTTATAAAACAATACATACTAGCTGTAAGGGAAACGAGTATTCAGACAGTGTTTTTGCTATTTAATATACGTCCAAAATATCCACTGTAAATGTACACATCTTTTCTCTTTGTACGTATAAATATGAACATAGAAGTCCAGAAACTTCATTCATAAACATAAAGATATGTTTAAAAACTGAATTAATATGGTAAAAAGTAATCAGACTAGGCTATATTAAATACACAAAACATTTTGAACAATCACAGATGAAGCGAATGATGTTGATTATCTTGTGACAGCACCGCATGTCAAGGTCTGGGTTGTATTAGATGTGTAATCAGTGAACAGTCAGTTCTCGTAGTTGATGTGTTAGATGTGGGAAATATGGGCAGGCATGAAGAGCTGAACGACTTTGACGAGCTAGATGACTTGATCAGAGCATCTGAGTACCTGCCAACAGTGGTCTGAGGAGGTGGCAACAAGGTGTTGGGCACCCAAAGCTCACAGATGCTCGAGGGCAACAAAGACTAACCTGTCTGGTCTAAACAGGCAGAAGGACTACTGTGGCATAAGTCACTGAAATGTTTAATGATGGTTACGGGAGGAATGTGTCACAGCAGTTCATTGCACCCTGCCTTGTATGGGGCTGCGTTGCAGGCCTGGTTCACCTTTTCATGGCAATGGTATTCCCAGATCCTATGGCCTCTTTCAGCAGGATAATACACTTTGCCACACTGCACACCAAGTTCACCAATGGTTTGATGAGCATGACAAAGTATTTAAGGTGTTGCTCTGATCTCCAAATTCGTCAGATTTCAGTCTAATCAAGATGTGTGGGATGGGCTGGAACAAAAAGTCCAATCCATGGTGACTCCACCCCAGACCTTACAGGACTAAAAGGATCTGCTGCTTATGTCTTGCCCTGCCAGATATCACAGGGCACCTTCATAGGTCTTGTAGAGTCCATGTCTTGGTGGGTCAGTGCTGAGGATCAACGGCATATTAGGCAGCAGGTCATTATTTTTTGGCTCACCAATGTGTATATATAGCACAGCACAGCACTGCTGTTTTTATTTACAAGGTGGACCAACAAGCCAGGAGTGACTGATAGAGTGGACTGTGAGTGGACACTAACACACACACTAACATGCCACCATCATGTCAGTCTCACTGCAGCACTGAGAATGATCCACCATCCAAATAATATACCTGCTCTGTGGTGGTCCTGTGGGGGTCATTATATGTAGTTGCCACTGGATGGGAAGGTTTTGTGTAAGAAGTAGCAGTCCTACTAAAGATGAAGGGTCTTCCTGATGTTCTCAGGACCACATTATTAAACAACACTTACAGTCAGTACAACTGGTTTGATAATAAGCAATTGTAAAAGTTTGTGGAACCACAACTATTTGTCCCCAGACAGGAAGGTATGAGAGAAGCCAGCAGTCACTTGATGAGTTGCAGGGTGACCTGAAAGCAGCAAACACAGCAGTTACTCAGAGAACAATAAGCAGTAAACTATACCACAATCACCTCCATTCCTGCACCCCATGCAAACCTCCGCTGCTAAGAAAAGAAGTACAAAGATGCACGTCTAACACTTGCACAAAGGCATTAAGACAAATCTGAACAGTGTACTCTGGTAAAATACAACAAAAACAGAACTAATTTAGCTTGTCATGTTTGTAGAAAGTAGGGTTGCGTGTCTGATCTGAAGTACACAGTACCCACAGTGAAGTATGAAGGTGGGAGCATCAAGATACGGGGCTGCTTATCTGCAAACAGTACTGGGGTGTTAGAGATTACTGAAGGAAACATGAAATGGAGCGATGTGCCGGGACATATTAGAGAAGAGTTTGATCTTAATGGCCAAAAAAGGGAAGAAGATGGACGTTTCAACAAGATAACGACAACAAATACACAGCCAAAATAACTCAAGCTGAAGGTACTCGCATGGCCTAGCCAATCTCCTGACTTGAATCTCATTGTAAAATTTATGGTGAATTTTGAAATTCCAGCAGATGGACCCTCATAACCTTGGGGAAATGAAGAAAGTTTGCCAAGAAGAATGGGCCAAAAATGAACCACAATGCTGCAAAAGATAATTGCTTCTTACCCTCAAAGCTGTAATTGCCAACAGTGGCTTTGAAATAATGTATCAATGTTAGTAACTTGTGGTATCTGAATACTTTTCTCACATTATTTTGGTTTTTAAACATCTATTTGTTTGTGTGTTACTGTCCAAAACAAACAACCAAAAAAGTATCTCCATTTTTTGGATGAATGGACCAATAGAAATGCTCCAAAAATGCTTGGAATAAAATCTCTTTACATTGATTTACATTAAATGTAACATATATGTTTGCCTTCTTCTGTGAAGTTGCCATTTTGGAGGTATTTGTTTTTCTTTGAACAGTTTTGCTTTTTGTTATATTTTGTGTTCATATTAATAAGAACAAAGTCAAAAGACATTAGTGTAATTGTGAAGTGGTGACATACACATGAATTATATTAAATAACAAAAACTAACGTGTCTGAATACTTATTCCCATCACTGTATGTCTGTGTATAGAATAGAACCCTTCATAGGTATGATGTCTCTCTCTCTCTCTCTCTCTTTTAATTTATACACAAGAATAAGTCACGTATAGTGATTGTTATCGTATGCAGAAGCAGCAGAGGCGCAAGTCATTCTGATTGGATGATGCTGAATCCAGAACGTGATGACGCAGAGAACGTGCGTTTCAGAAGAGTTCCAGGAGACGGTCTCGCTCTTTTCTGCCCTCACCTCATTCCTGCACGCTGAGACCGAAGGGAACCTGCCGCCACTGTTCCCTCCCGTGTTTAAGAAGATAAGGGTTTATAAGTATTCTTTGAATTCCCTGAATGGGGCTTGACCTGCTATTCATCATAAAGCGTCCTCCCACCCGGGGGCGCTGTTGGCTAATTCAAAATCCCGCTTCTGCCTGCCGAACCTGAACCCGCAGGAAGCCTAGAAAAGCTTTTCGGTTGTTTGCATTTTGTCCTGCTGTTTTAATGGTCAGTGGGCAGTGTCACCATAGTCCCCTTAAAGTGTTAGCAAGAGTCTTTTACTGATTACAGCTGGTTTCTCTCCTCTCTCTCTTTAAGCAAACACAGTCATTGGTGCAGACAAGACTATGATGCATAAACCACTTAATGGACTCATTGGATAAACCCCTTTAACACCTAGTAAAACCAGGCATGTTTAGGGACCGGCTAACCGGTCATCCACAGGCGGTGTTCAGAGTATCCCACAGTTCTGGCGCTGTAACAGCACCAGTGTTAAAGCTGCCTGATTTATAACCACGTCTTTCATCCTGGAAGTACTTTTTGAAAGTAAAGATGTGTGTGAGTGAGCTTGACACGGTGAACTGCTCGGCGCGCTGCGTTTCTGCCTTTGTCTCTGCAAGCTGAGCCTGCTGAAATTAGGTCATAAAGACCAAACGATTAGCTCATTTCCCAGTCATGTCCAGCCAGCCCCTCCACTCACACAAAGCCGAGAGGCAGAGGAAACCCCGAAACAAAGAGCGAGTGAGAACATTTGCACTGGGCATTGTGCTTTTGTAGCCTGCACTCTTAAAAATGAAGGTGCCAAAAAAGGGCTTTTTGAGTGATCAAGGAGAAGAACTGCTTTTGGTTTGCGGAACAGCCTTTTGTTGGACGGTTCTTTAAAGAAGTACTTTTGTAAATAAGATCCTTTTTAGAAAATAGAACTTTTTCGAAGTATAAAGAACCTCCACATGACGTAAATGCACTATATGAAAGGTTTTCCCCACACTATTAAAGTCAGAGTAAATCATATTTTTTTCTTCCACACTGTGACTTATTTTGTTTTTCCTTAATGATAGGTGGGGGTGATGGGAGGGGTAGTGGAAACATGCTATCATTGGTTAATATATTGGTGCACAGTGATGTAATCAAAACTCAGAAGAAGTTTTAGAGGTGGGTAAAAGATACTGCGCTTTGATAAAAGATTATGGGAAAACAAGAATTTAGTCTTTTAAATGATATGAATTGCGCTCAGTGACCAAGGACATGAACTAACTTGGCAAAAAAAATGTGACTTTTCATTTCAAGTTGACTTTAAAGGTGCCAAAAAGAGTTCTTTGGAGAAATGCCATAGAAGAACTGTTTAAGTGGTTTTAACTGACTTCTTAAAGAACTATCCAGTGAAAGGTTCTTTAGGGAACCACAAGTGGTGGCCCAATGGCAGGGGGGCCCAATCTTGGTCCTGGAGATCTACCACCCCGGAGAGTTCAGATCCAGCACACCTGGCTCTAATATTCGTCTGACCCTGAAGTCCTTTCTTACCTGGATCAGGTGTGTTAGATTAGAGTTGGTGCTACACTCTGCAGGGTGGTAGATACCGGAAATAAGCAAGCAGCGTTGCCGTGAGATGGCAACAAAACACTTTTGGAGCAACGCTAAAACCACATGCTTGA